TTTATGCTCAATATTGAAGCGTGGTCTGAGCTACACGCTGTGGGTCTAGATACGGCCGACGGGCGAGGAAGTGGGGGCGAGTTTAGTTCGTCGACGGAGGGACATGAGGGCCAAAAAGAGCGGAGATCCAGGTGGAAAAAGGGTCCCAGCGTTCTCGCGCACCTCGCTCTTCTAGCGGGTCAAACTTCACGAGTTGTTTTCCGCAATGTCGGTCATAAAAACAAACCAAGCCGGCCTCCTGTCTGCAGCGCTGTCTGTGGTTAGCTACAATCTGGGAGAGGAGCAGCGGAGCGTCTGTGGAGGGGGCGGGACGTCTGGAGCCGAGGTATTGCATTGCACTGATTGCACTGATTTAGTGCAGTATTTTTTGATGCAAAGCGTTTCAGAATCTATAACGCAGGCGGATTATTATTTTTCAGTGAATGAGGTTTTAACAGGAATAGGTGGAGTACAACTTTTCTACTTCTGTTTTTTGCTGTTATTTCTCAAATAAAATGCATAACGATATTACAGCTTTCATTGATTTATTTCAAATTTGAAACATTGTCTAGCCTGTAAGGTGTAAAAAAAAAAAAATGAACCAATTAATCGAATCGAATCGTGGTGTATTCTTAAGTATCGAAAATAATCGAATCGTTGGGTCTGGAAATCGATACTGAATCGAATCGCCATGATGGATGTGATTTACACCCCTAGTTACAGCCCTGCTGGTCTACATTAAGGTCAGCCGTCCAGTAAAGTGAGTCCAGATGCTTCTGCTTCTCCTGTGTTCAATGGCAGAGCGTAGCTTTGCTATATTTGCTGTGAGCATCTGGAAAAAAGTTGTTTTTATTAGATGTGTTACTTTGTTTGTTCACACCAACACCTGAGAAGGTCATTTTTAGCTTCATATTTATTCATTTTAAATTTAAATATATTTGATTTAAAAATATCATGGGCTGATTCTCTGAAGTGTTGGGATCTGGAGGTCTGTCCACTTTCTCCACCAGAGGGCGTACTAGATCTTCTGGAGCCGGAGCTGATTGCACCACCTGTCGCTCATCTGCTCATCAGGAGATCTGTATTTTAGGAGGCAGAGGACGTCTCTCCAGCGTCAGAGTGTTTGCCAGTTACGGTAAGCAAGCCTGAGCCAACCTGCCTGTCTGAATCTCTGACTCCCTGAAAACCAGAACCTGAACCTGATCTGTTTTCTCCTCTCTGCTTACTAGATTGAACCTGTCTGAAACCTGAAACCCAGAAGAGTATCTCTGCCGGTAATCTGCCTGTCT